AATGATATTTACTAAACCAATTACCAAGAGGACTCTTTTCAACTGTTTTAAACTGGTAATAGAAGGTCTAATATTAGGGCTCGGTTCACGATTCGAACCAGTTTTCGGTTCAAACTCTTATCATACATTTTATGTGACCTACTTGCTCAGTTTTAAAGCTATCTTCTTCAGGGTTTACTTAGATACGCCTTGGTATCGGTCGCAAAAGTACTTGTATCAAGACATCTTGACCAAACGCGGCATTTATAAATTTCTCTAAATATGTGCAAAATCTTGAAAATAAGGGTATTTAATCGTTAGTTAATACCTAAATGCTACTAGGATATAAAAGTAAGTTCACAGTTGATAAATATTTGAGTGCCACGCTTAAACCGGTTCAATTTAAGAGCACTGCGAACGAGATATGCCGCAGTCGAGTCGAACCGTTTAATTATTTGTTTTGTATTTTTTCTTTCGCACCTTCAAACTGCAGCTGCAGCTGTAGCCATGTGGCCGTGTAGCCGATTTGGCTTACCTGTAAACAGATTCATCGTAGACGAGCAGAATGCGCAGCGGTTGATCGGCGACAATGCTGCGCCGGCGCATGCTATGCACCGCTGGACTCGGGTTCCAGTTGGTCACGTCATTGACGCCATCATCAGCATCATCATCATTATCATCAGCATCATGATGATGGGCCAGCTGTATGCGCACACCGTGAACGACCTGTAACGATTGGAGGGGGGGGGGGGGGGGGGGGGGGGGGGGGAGAGAAGAAATTTGGGGTTTGCTTTAAATTATTTGTTAAACGAAAGCGAAAATGTTGCCAACAATTAGACAATTAGAGATGACGACATGGCCATAAAAGGCCACACAGAAAATGAAAAAGTGGCAGACGTAATTGGCTTTTGGGCAAATTGCAGTGAAATTAATTTTCAAATTGCCCGCCAAAATGTCGAACGATTGAGACATCGAAATGTCAATGAAATTTTGGGGCTTTTCAGCAAATTGGGTTTGTTTTGTTATTTTATTGCCATTTTTTTGTTTGTTGGCCATTGTGCAATGTGTGCCAATTATTGTGCATAAATTAGACCCTGTTGAATATGCAAAAAGACCATGCCGAGCCATTTGGACTGATTATCTATTATAATTTATGGTTGGCCGGACTACAGACAAGCGGACAGACAACACACTCAACGTTTATTGAGAGAGAATCTTTTGGCTGCGCTTCACTGCTCTAGTTGAATCGTTGCGACCGACAAATACCCTGTACTTTGAGACAATTTTCGGTCAAATCTTTAATAAGTTTTGCGCTTTTCTTTCAGTCAACATCAGATTTTCAGGACTTAAAGCACCTTTAAAAGTGAGGTAAGATTTCTAAATGCAAACATTTGACATGCCACAAGCTCTACATCCCTCCGCTCCAGCTTGGCAAAAAATTAATTCTTTAATTACTTTTGTATTTATCTTTTGTTCGTTGTATTATTTGCTGGGCTTAACGGTATCTACTTAATGTGTGCAGGTACACAGGCAAAATTTAAAATTTAAAGGGCATGGAAGGGCTTAACAATATATTCATGTAACAAACATTTGCACGACTTCAATCTACCCATCTGCAAATGCAACAGGGTATAGTAGGTACATGTAGTACGCTCCAGCACTGAAGATTGAAAGCTAGTTCGCTTTCAGCGCCAGGCCAAAATGAAAGTGAAATGTAGTTAGATTTTTGCATGTAATATAAGGTTTTATCTGGTTGCTTTAATAATAAAGATCAGCACATGGTCAGGCTTTCAGCTGAATCGAGAGGCAACAGCAATTAATGAGTTAATAATCGTTAACTAATTATGTAAACAAGGCAATTTTGATTTTCAATTCAATTTAATGGCACAATTTGCAGCTTGGGACTGGTCGTGAGCCATGATTGAGTAGATGTGACTTCTAAATGCTGCTAAATGCCATTTCCAGACACCTGCACATTCATTGTATTTAATGAGCATGACAAGTTGTTCTAGATAATGCCGAAGATTTTATACTCTTGCGTGCACAAAGCAAGTCTGCGATATGTACATCTGTGACAAAACAAGTTTCAGTTTGGTTAAAGTTTCTTGAAGAAACAAGTAAGGGCTCTAGTAGGGAGCTGCCGAATAGGGCCTGAACCCTCTTTTTTCAAACCTCGTTAGGGTTTGAACTCGCAACAGACAACATCAAAGAAGACGCGCATAAATGAATCCATTTGCGATTGCTGCACCAAACTCGAGGCCAGCCAAAAGATGTTATCTTTAATACCATTTGAGTTTCTTAATCGATCTTAATGAAATTTTTTTACAGTAGATCTTATTGTGCTATAGAATATTTGTATATTTTGAAAATATCAATTGCATTTAACTTATGGGCAAAATAATTAAAAAAAAAACAGTATCTTGATATGGATTTTTATCGATTTCTTGGGCGGGTCAAGTGATCGCAAACAAACTCGATCTGGGCAGGCACTGGGAGCCCCTACATCTAAAATTTCAAGTCTCTAGCTCTTATAGGTTCTGAGATCCTTGCATTCATACACACGGACAGACGGACAGTCAGATGGACATGGCTAGATAAACCCGGTTAGTTCGCATAAAAACAGGCAGAAAGACAGGCATGGCTTGGAATAAGTCTCCTTCTATGCGTTATATATTTTATGCCAAATTATAATACCCTCTAGAAGGGTATATTACATTATATTATATTACAAAGGTATTATTTTATAAGGTAAGTGTTGCATTTAATTGATTCTAAGAAGTTGATGTGATTTCACGTCCATTTGAACATTGATTAAGATATTTTGAGAAAATACAAAGCTTTCCATTTAAATACAATTCAGCCACATGTTTAGAATCTTTATTAGTGCGTTACACTTTCCACAATAAATTTATAATAACCTCTGTGAGAGTATAAGAAACATATAAACGTACATAAACATTGTATCGTACATAGACTTGCCAACAACAATACAAGCAATTTATCTATATTTGTCTATTCAGCAAAAAAAAAAAAAAATAAAAATAAAGAACAACGATCACGAAAAGAAGAGAAAAATACGCTGATCTTAAGACAAAATGCAGTGGCGTAGTTTGAAGGGGATTCCAAAGTCTATAATCAAACGCAAATAGTTGGAGAAAAAAAACCCCCTTGCAAATGCGCAGCTGCCGAACGTATGAAAATCATTTAGATAACAAAAGTAAACATTACAATTGTTTCCTCGGAAGATCGTGACGACCCTCAAGAGTGAACAGCACTTTGCATGATATTCAAAGGGGTGCTACTGCCCAACAACCCCCCCCCCCCCCCCATCGCTCCTTCCAGTTCGACCCACCTGTTTTTACAACCTAAAACTGCGTCTCATTTGGCGGTTTCGCATGCGAATTGTGCATTGAAATCCGTTAAACCGCTTTTAACCGCACAAATAACACGGAGCACTGCGGCAGCATTCGCCAGGTGAAAGATGAGCCGCAGCACCTGACGCACAATGCGCTGCGATGATGGCAAACGTTGCCACAGCCACCGAGCTGCCACATGTGGCAAGCTTTTAGCGCCAGTGTCAATCGTTGCACAATGTGTTTGCAAATTGAATCCGAAAATAAAAATAAAATTCATAGCTAAAGCTCTACTTCAAAATTCCAAATCGGTAAACTAAAACATTATACCCTTTTTACCCATTTTTAATGGGTTCAGGTTATAAAAAGCAAATTAAACTATTTCAAAAACTTACAAAATTAGTTTAGTTCAGTGACATTCTGATTTTAATTATGGTTCGATAAGAAGTTCATTTTTACTTAAGCCTTGAACCGGATCTGAAGCATTACTATTGCCATTCAAAGCCAGTAAGAGGTTCTAGTCGGAAGCTCCCGACTCCTCCTCTTCTTCCAACACCACATGCAAATATATACACTCATCTAGAAGCTACATGTCAAGTTGGGTAACTCTAGCTCTTATTATATACCAAAATTTCCCAAAAACAGGATATCGATATAGATTTTTATCGATTACTTGGAAAGTTATCGATTATCGGAAACAAACTCGATCTGCGCAGGCACTAGGGTGATCTACATTTAAAGTTTCACGTTTCAAGCTCCTATAGGTTCTGATATCCTAATGATGCTGATCAAGAATATATATACTTTATGGGATCTCTCTGTTACATACATTTTGCCCATTTTCAATGGATGGAGGATATATAAAAAAAGATTACACAATTATAATAATATATAAAATGAAAAATTAAATTTTAATTTATTTCCCTTTTTTATTTACTTTGGAGGCGATTTACCCCACAGTGCGCTTGCTTGACTCTTTGAATGCTGCAACAATGCGAAATCGGATAGGCTTTGCAATTCATCGAACATCTGGCAAATCAGTCATTATTAAAAACTATTTAAAACACAAAACAAAAAATAAATAAAAAACAAAAAAAAACACAAAAGCCGTTCAATTTACGATTACAATGTTTGACAAAACATTTTTATTTTAGTTAATTATATATTATATTTTATTTAATGTTATCGATATCTGAATTTGAATATGTAACAAAGGATTTACATTTTTCGCATTTGGCAACTGTCAAACTTTTTACGGAAAACATTTGCAATATTGCATTGACCTTTTGTTGAACTTAATTCCTTCACCTGCATGCACACACACTCATACACACACACACACACACACACAAACTGAAACAAAATATTGTTTGCGAGTGTTGGAAATATTGAAAAGGAGCATCATGTAATAAAAACAGCATTCAAAGATTTATTTTATTGTTGATTGAATTAGTAAATTAAAATTGAATTTAACAACAATTGAGAGAATTATCTTAAATTGAATTTTAATACAGACGTTTACTGTACGCATAGAAAACGACACGTTTTACAACACTGCTGTTGTATAACTCATGAATTTGTAGTAATAAACATATAATGTTTTTTGTTTTTTGTGTTAATGATTTGCGTGTAATTATATTTTTGTTTTGAATATTAGATATTATTAATTTGGTTTTTCGTATCTCGTATTTGTTAATGTGATCCGACTCTACGCTAAAATATTGCGTTAAGCTTTAAAATTTAGTTCAAATTGTCAACATGAGGAGCACACATCTAGCTATTCTTTTATTTACACTCAAACTGGGTTTGGTGAGTTGAAGCAAGTTTGATCAAGCATTTGGTGCTCAATACCCAATACCCTATACCCAAACAGGTCGTGGGATCTTTTAAATTCCAGAACTTGGAATGTACCGTTCATATTCCTCGAATCGCAAGTGTTGAGGAGTGTCGCATTCGAGCGATTAATCGCACTCAAAATTTGCTAAATCTTAGGTTACATTTGAAAGAAACTATATCAAATGTAAATATAATTGCTAAAGCAACCGATCAATTAATATATACAAGAAAACTTTATCTTAGCTGCAAGTGAACTTCAAAATTTTAAAACGTGAACGCGGCGGTTGGCATCCATTTCTATACTCCATGAAAGTGGATCTGTGTAAATTCTTTGAGAGTCCCAATCGACATCCGCTGCCCGCAATAATGTTTCATTATGTGAAAGATTTTACAAATGTCAATCACAGCTGTCCATTTTTGGTAAGTTTGCTTTCATTTTGTTGCATTTAGTGTTTATTTCCTCCCTTTAGGCCAATACGTACATGGAACTGGGCGCATTTTAACTGGATGAACTGAGCATTATGAAACGATTCCCCGTCGAGGCTGGGCAATATGCAATACACACATCGTGGTACTCGAAAAATCTATTGATCTTTCATATAAATGGCTCCGCAAATTATATCAAATAGATTCCATGGATCGCTCGATATACTCGAGACCAGTTTAATAATTCAAATGGAAATAAATAAATAAATAAATTGTTGCTTAAAATATTCATTTTGTATACCGATTGTATATGTAATTCCTTGTTACCTAGCTTTTTTTTCTTACTGAAGGCAATTTGAAATAATTTCCGCCTTACTCACTCATGCGTTTAATTACACAAATATCAGTTGATTATTTTATGATTGTTTTATTTCTTACTTGAACTAAACAAATAAATCCATTTGTGCTGTGATTAAATGCGTCAGCCTTTAATTCTAGCCAATCTTAAACTAGATTTCAATTCATTTTGATTTTTATAATCTTTAACTAGATTTTCTGTTATACTTAAAGTTTTTTTATTATTATTATTTATCATCATTTTCCATAGGCTAAGAAACGCTCCTTTTGGACTAAAATTTTATTTTCGCATTTTTTATTGTTTATTTATTTTCCCGAATATTTATACTATTTTTGGTGGACTTTTAGAAATTGTTGAAAAATTGCTCGATGTGCAATGTGCAGCAGTAGAAGCAGAAGCGAGTTACCAAATTATGACATACATACATCTACTTCCGCCCACATATCTCCCTTCGTCCAATTTATGACATACAAAATTATGAATAAATCTGCCTCCGACGACATATGTATCTCCATTTGGCGAGATTATGTCGTTTTAAAGCGACAAAGTACGCCGATCTAAGAACGACATAATCAAGCCCCTTTAAGTATCACAAATAAAATAGGGGGTTTCCCTCTGAGTAAAGATATGTAGCAAGCAAAAATTGAGATTAAAGGAGAAACTTATCAATTAAAGTTGGGTTTCATAACGTTTTTCGTCAGGATATCTGTACTGAAAATAACGCTGGGCACACACATGTATATCCTGTTTAAATATATTTAAAACAATGCTGAAAAATTGATTATGGAATTGGTGCAGCAGCTGCCGCCACACTTTCTAAGCACAGAAAATATGCTTATTCAATCTGCGATAAGACGTAATGCTCAGGTAGCTCAAGTAGCTTACTAACACACAAAATGCGACTATCTAACAAATTTATTTTGCGTGCCACATTCGAGCGTGTCCAGTCTTTAAATGCGACTCACGTTTAAGGCAATTGAAATCGGGGCTAAACAGAGGGAACAAAAAGAGAAATGTACCGTATGCTGCGCCTGGCTGCCTCCAGTATTTGCTTTTTTAGTCAAACGACAACAACAACAACAACAGAAAACACCCATAAATATCAAACACGATCCGCTGCACGCATGCGCCGGGCGCCGACCATTTAACAGTTGCGCATGCTAATTTGAGCAAGTGAATCGATCAGCCGCAGAGAGCGAGCGGGAGGGGAGGACAGAGACGCGCGCGGGCGTTATGTTGAGTAATTATTTACGTGCCTGGAGCAGACAATCTGTCATTCGTTCACTAAGCCAAGCATGACGACATTTTTGCGCCAACCCCTCTCTCTTTCTCTTTCGCTCAACTCCGCCGTCTTGCCTTTTGTCAAGACTTTGGCGATCTTCCGCAGTTTTTCACTGCCGTCTGTCACCTGCGTTCAATGCTCGCGCCGGCCAAATCAATCGAAGCTTTCAAGCTTGACTGCCTGCCTGCGAGTGAGTGAAGCAATGAGTGAGTATTTGTGCTTTCACTTTCGATCTGTGGGCGCTCAAGCTCAGCTGTAGCCCTCCCTGGCGGCTAGTGTTGTTTGCTTACACATACTCAATATGTACACACGTATGTTTGTGCGTGTGTGTGTATGCATTATTGAGCAGCGGCTATTTTGCATGCAGCGCTAGTTTATGGTTTATTTGCTTCTCTTGGGCTCAATTTATTTGTTACCTCACATTGTGACCGCAACGAACATGTTACTTAATTAAAATCATGAATAGCACACAAAAGCACATTAATAAACTAACCACATCCACACACAGACGCACGGACTACGCAAATTTAACGCATCATTCTACTAGTGGCAATCTCTACAGTGAATTATTTCCAATTTGCCTCGCTAACTGACGTAAATTGAATGAAATCGTCCGACTCGCTCCAACTGTAGATTATTGAATTTGTCGTCCTCCATCTAGCACGTACGCACAAGTCGCCCAGCAACCCACAACCAACGGTACATTGCAGCAAACACGAGGCAGCAGCTGAACGTTATTTGAGAACGAACTCAAATTGAATTTTACGCTCATTGAATATGCTCAGAAATTCATTTTGCAATTTGCCAATGTACAAATGCAGGAGACGAGGGCTGCAGCCTGTAAGAAGGAGAGTTGTTGCTGCACTCAAAACGAACAGGCGACATTTTTGTCAAGGTTACCACCTACTTGAAATACTGCACTAGCCTGGACTGACCCACAAACATCGTATCATTTACAGTTGTCGTTAAGGCAACTTGTTGCGTTTTATTAAATTCATAATATTGGCCTGGCGTGTGTTTCAAAATTAGCCTCGGGCCATGTAGCATAATTAACTAACTGACTAACTGATCGTTGGCTTTCAACAAACTTGTTTCGCTGGCAACCGGCACACGCACACACACGCACACACACACACACACACACACAAACACACACAGACAGCATCAGCTGGAGATAAGTTGCGCGATTTTATCTTTTGCACTTGTTTATTTGCCCGATTGTTTACACAACGCCTTCAATGTGCTTAGCTACTCTGTAGTGCACTGTATACTGTGTATAACAAGAAGGAACAGTTGGCCGCGCCGACTATTAAATACTCTTTCACTGTACCGTTTAACAAATAATTCAACTGAAGCTTGAAATTGTCGAAAGAAGTGAATTTATATTGAACAAAAAATACAATTTAATGCTTAGTTTGGTTATGAAATGATATAGATTATCTTTCTGAACGATAAATACCTATTTACTGCAGTATATAAACCAAGTATAATTTATAATTATTATGTTTTATCCATTTTACGGTTATTTCCCTATGGGCATTACACAATTTGTGACAAATTTATCATACACTATGTAGAGTATAAAAATGGTTTATGTAAGCACATCTTAATTAAAAAGCTCAAAAGCAATTTTTGCAGTTACAGTTACAAATAGAAATGTCTCTCACTTTCTAGTAGCAAAACGAGATACAATACACAAGGACAGATATACAGATGTGTGTGTGCGAGAGTGTGTGTGATTGTGTGCAAGAGAGTGTGTGCAACCTACAGCCAATTATAATGGCAAACAAATGCAATAAGCACAAACAGAAATCTATGCAGACGACTCGGGGTCAAAGTTGGCTGTTTCAATACCCCTTACGGGTCTTATTTACCAGCTTGAAACGGAGCAGAAATGCCCTTTAACTTAGTTTCGTTGAGATTGTTGAGGTCATAAATAATAACAAAAAAAAAAAGTAACAACAATAAATAAGTAGGCGGCATAATATATAGAAGCCTTTAACAAGATTACAACTTTTGAGAAATCTATTTTTAGATCAAACGACGAGCTTCTCAAACGTCCATTTAATGATGTGACTGCTCAAGTCGGGAGTGCTCAACTAGCTAATACCCTGCACCAGACCGAGCTGCTGCTGTAAGCAATTCGGCTCCTGGGCTTCTTCTTTCTTTGTCAATTGATTTCGGTGTTTATAGTCCGATCTTTAAGGAATACGTTTAGAAATATGTTTTTATTAGAGGTCCAGGGGAGGTTTCCAAAAGTTAAAACATTCTAGATGTGTGTGTACTATATGAAAGCCTACTATAAAAATTTGGCATATGGTTCAGGGGCTCAGTTATTTGGAAAATTTTGGATGCTTCACATACTCTCCTGCCCGCCGGATACTGCGGATAAAATAAAATAGCTTATTTTGCATACTTATTATAACATTGATTTAAATGAAATTCACTCTAACGAATATTTAAAAAAGAAAATATTGAAAAAATTGAAGAGTCAAAGGAAATGAAATTTAACTCCTGACCAGTTTGTCCTCCTCAGTTACATATCATCCTAACCAAACTTAAAAACAAAAAAAAACAAGTAAGAGGTACTAGTCGGGAGCACCCGACTAGGGGATACCCCGAACCCTCTTCTCCCAACATCAAATGCATATATATATTATATTTTAGAAGCTATTTGTCAAGTTCGGTGACTCTAGATCTTATTATTTACCGAAATTGCCCAAAAAACAGGATATCGACATCGATTTTTATCGATTACTTGCAAAACGGAGTAAGTTATCGATTATCGGAAACAAACTCGATCTGCGCTGGCACTAAGAGCACTGACATCTAAAATTTCAGTCTCTAGCTCTTATAGGTTTGAGTTCCTTGCGTTCATACATACGGACAGACGGACAGGCAGACAGACGGACATGGCTAGATCGACTCGGCTATTGATGCTGATCAAGAATATATATACTTTATGGGGTCGGAGAAGCTTCCTTCTACCTGTTACATACATTTGGATTTCGTACAATTACAATATACATTTTTAATGGTTCAGGGTATAAAAAGTGTCTGAAAATCCCCTCATTTTTGTCAGGTTTCACTTACAAAAAAAAAAAAAAAAACATCTTATTTCTTTATTACTTTTAAAATTTTATATAATTATTAAACTAGCAAGGAGGTCGTGCTGTCAATTACTAGAATTATTATGATTATTGGGAAAGATAAGCACACGTCTATTAAGATATCCAATAAAATGAGCTTCGTATTGTTCACATTCAATTCGTTATCTTGGGTAGGATAAAACTAATGAAATACTGCCAGCTAAACTGGCATCATCATGGTTGGACTTGTTGTATTTATTGAGAGACGTGACAAATTATTCAATTTGCCTCGTCAGCCTGTTTAAATTTATTTAAGCGTAATTAAAACTGAACACAGTGGGCAAGGCAACGTTGCGGCTTGGAATGGGCTGGCTGGCTGGAGGTGTCGGGGGTCCAGCACTTGGTTTTACGGAGTGCCCGCATTTATTGCAGCATTTACATACTCGCATAAATCCGAGCGATCAGCGCGCAAGTCAGGATCCGGGCGGGCGGCAATTGTGGCGGGGCACTTGCCGGAATGCTTGTATTTGAAACGTTTCAAGTTACAAATAATTAAAATAATTGTATGCGTATTAAGCCTCAACAGT